ACGGGCAGTAATTGAGGGTAATTGTGGATAGATGGATGATGGGAAACTGGGTTGGTTGCAATAATACAGCCTGGTTGATGATCTGTCCAGGCGATGCAGGTAGTAGGAAGAGAGAGAGAGAGAGAGAAGGTTTGACGCTGACAGGGTTGTCGTGGCTTCCGGAGACGACCGTGGCAGGGCAGGGCAGGCAAGGTACGTTTTAGATCTTATCGAACCGTTGGGCGGTTGAGGGCGCGGCCAGTGACTGGATCAGTGGCTCTCCGTCCCGGCGGAGCAGATTTTGACTTCTTGCTATGTTATGCTAAAGAGGCTAAACCGAGAGAGGGGCGCTTGTACTTTGCAAAGATCACCCCCTCAATGCTGTCCCACGACGGCAAATGATTCAAAGATGATGATGTAGCAGAGGGAGAAAGGGTCCGAGGGAGAGTAGGTGGCCAGCCAGTCCAAATCACAAGCGACCGAGAAAGGAAAGGCGAGGCATGGACTGTGGACAAGTGAATTGAACTGAACTGAACTCCATCTCCAATTGCGCTGCCTGAAGGCAAAGGCGGGCGGTGATCCTCGGCCAAGATTCGGTGGTGGGCGTCGTATGATCGCGGGTGACGGCGCTTCCGGCAAACCGAGCCAGTCCTGGGAAAGTGGCACCAGATGGAGCTGATGTTTCGGTATTATTACCATCACGTGGGCGAAGACGGTGCCTGCAATGAGTGCATTTCAGTCATAGGAGCTGATAAGTATGTATGGTACGTATGGTTAGATGGTGTATTAGTACCTTCCGCCTACGTACTCAGCCAATGATGTCGCCAAACTACTAAAAATAACATACCTCGGGGTCCCACTTACTCAACTCTTCATGTCTTTCGTACAGTAAGATACTCTGCCCGTATCTATAGCGATGCAGCTGAATGCAAGAGGTGCATACAGCTACTATATCTCTGCTTTCATTTCTAGTATCTCCTCCACCTGAAAGAATTAAGCTTAATTGTTAGCCTTTTACCATTTTGATTATGGTGACCTCACTACCTACCTGTCTACGGGACCGTTTGTCTGCCTTAGTCGATGACTGTTTGTCAACTAAATATATACTAAGACCTATTACAGTGGTGGGTCTTTGCTTGGATGAAATGAAGTCACTAAGTAAGAACTTCCCATAAAGAGAACAGGCACCGGAATTGAAGCCTCAGAGACGAGCTTCGATGCTACAAATACATTTATAAAGTACATACTAACCCCCATACTTTAGTTCTGTCGCAATATGTCTCTAGTGACTCGATAGGCGTCTTCGAAGGCACCTGAGATAAACCCCCGCCAGCCATCCGCAAGTCCGACCCACAGAAATACACCTGTCCGTGTGGCCTCCTTACCGCATCATGATACTTTTGCAAGAATCCAGGTCCCCGAACGGGCATGACGCCGCCAGCATATGGATCCTCGGACCAGAGATGGCCACATGCAGAGTCAACCTGTATGCCCGTGGGTCGAAGAGTCTCCACCAGACGGATGTTCTCCTCTGAGCGGTCTAGACTGTTCCCTGGATGGGCAAGCAAAGTCAGGAGGGTGTGGTTGCCGTGCTTTCCATCTGTAAAGCCGCTTGTATAGGGCATATCGCCTCCCTCACAGGTAACATTGAACCCGTTTCTAAGATCGGATGATGTGCATACAAGGAGCTTATCTGACTTTGCCGGGGTAACGCCGGTGGCGAAAGCTTCCCTTTGGAGTGTAGATAGAGGGGGATCGAAGGTGATGGATGAGATCACGTTGATGGGGATTGTCGAGATGACGAATTTGGACACAAACTGATTTCCATCTTTCAGGGTGACAATAACAGGATAATCGGGGAATTCTCCACCTGTCTGAGTGATTGATGTCACAGGAGAACCAAAGATCCGGGCTCCCTTGTAGTCATCAAGGATTGCGCGCGCGAAGGCCGTGGTGCCTCGTGCGATCTTGTATTTCATGGTGGCTATCTCCATCATGGCAGGATCAAAGTTGCATAATGCATGGGTATGAAGCACTTCGGCAAAGGAAACCTTTTCCGGCGAGACGCCATAGAAGGAAGCGGTATGCGCGCTAAGCATTGACCTTTCCTCCTGGCTGCAACCATCGAGCTGCGCAATACGATCCGCTAGGCTGAGTTTATCCAGTTCGAGGTAGTCCGGATTCTGTTCGACACTCGAAGCCGTACTAAACGGGAATCGGATTACACTGCGCCCGCCTTGCCCATCAACATCAAAGAACTTCTCCATCAGTCCTTCTAGTCGCTCCATCATTACCTGTCCTTCAGCAGAATCCTGCACTCTAGCAGGGTGAGACCGCGATTCCTTGACCACGAACTCACCGTTCTCAGGAAACGCCACAGTTTCCTGAAAATTAGCGAGGTCATATCGTTGCAGCTCGCTGAATACATGTGGTTGTTGCCAGTGCACCCATGTGCCACCAAGCTCCACCTTGGTATCGTCTCCTACCTCTGCAGTCCAACAACGACCGCCAATGCGATCTCGAGCTTCAACGAGGAGCACGCTTTTGCCTCTAAAAGCAAGGTCGCGGGCAGCAGTGAGACCGGCAAACCCCGCACCGACAACAATCACATCATATCTGAAAGAGAGGCCTGACGGTGGGGTAGATGGGGCAACAGCCTCAGTGGTTAATCCTTCGCTGTATACTTAGCCGAGTAACTATAACGACTCTGTCGAGATAAGTTACTACATACCATACTGAAAACCGCCTTTGGCAGTCCAGATGAATCCTTCGTCCGATTTTGGCATTTTAACTGAATAGAATAATATCAATTGTGGGCGAAGTGTGAACAGCAGGTGTGTTGATTCTATCCAAAATAAAAGGCTGAGGATCGGTCTCCGCGGTTTCCGTTATCTCTCAATTTTCCCCACTTTCATCAGTGGAGAAAGAGGATGAATGATCACTGATACTACGAACTAGTAGTTATCAGATCATAATAGTATGGCTATAGTGGCCTTTCTCCAGCATAGATGCTGTTGGGTCTTGTATTTAGCCTCACCCTATAACGATCAGGGTCTTGCCCTTGCACAGAAGAGATTCGGACCAAAGTTGTACCGCTACACGTTGCCTGACGGAGTAAATCATGCGAACTGCAGCATCGCAATCAACGATCATCCGGCATGGCAGTGGGGTTGCGCGCCCCCGCTCTTCCCAACCCCGCGTATATTTCCCCATGCGTCGAGGGAGGTATATAGCAATCGATCCATGAGTTTGGCTTAAAAACTCCCAAGACGATTCTATAATATCCTCATAAGCCAGATACGTTGATTCAAATCTCATAAGGCATGTTCAGAAACACGCCCATGGTCAATATGGAGTTACAACTTCCAAACCGAGGGGTATATACGGACCCAGATCATAATCTCTTTATCAAGGAGGCAAACCTACCCTCCATCACATAAACGACGGATCAAGCTTAGCAGAGGGAGAGGTCACGGTAGCAATCAAGTACAGTGGCATTTGCGGGTAAAGCTGCCGTCCAAACCCATCTAGCCATGATGAGAGCTAATCGTAGCGATCAAGTTCGGACGTGCACTTCTGGAAACATGGCGGGATCGGTCCGTGGGTGGTCAACCAAGCGCATATCTTGGGGCATGAGTCTGCAGGGCTCGTCGTCAAGGTCCACCATTCGTTCACGACACTCGCAGTCGGAGATCGCGTCGCGGTCGAACCTCACATTGTATGCAAGGCGTGCGAACCGTGCCTTACCGGACGCTACAATGGGTGCAAGAATCTGCAGTTCCGCTCCAGTCCACCATCTCATGGTCTCCTGCGGACCTACGTGAACCATCCCGCCATTTGGTGCCACAAGATCGGCGATCTATCATATCAGAAAGGCGCCTTGTTGGAGCCACTGAGTGTCGCACTCACCGCAGTGACTCGTTCGGGGGTCAAAATTGGAGATCTGGTGCTGATTTGTGGCGCAGGGCCTATTGGGTTGGTGGTGCTGCAATGCTGTCGCGCTGCTGGCGCGTATCCCATTGTGATTAGCGATGTTAACCCAGCGCGTCTACAGTTTGCACAACAATTCGTGCCTGTGTCTCGAACACTGCAGGTTCGGCCGGAGGAGACGGACAAGGAATTCGCAGCTCGGGTGGTGCAGTTGACGGGTGGGGAGGATTGCGAGCCCGTGGTTGCCCTGGAATGCACGGGAGTCGAGAGTTCCATCGCCAATGCTATTCAGAGTGTCAAGTTTGGGGGCAAAGTGTTTGTGGTCGGCGTGGGCAAGGACAAGCTTCAGTTTCCATTCATGCGACTGAGCGAGCGCGAGATTGATCTGCAGTTCCAGCAGCGCTATTTCAACATGTGGCCGCGCGCCATCCGGGTGATGTCCAGCGGAGTGATTGATTTGGACCCGATGATCACGCATGTCTATGCCTTTGAAGACGCTTCCAAGGCGTTTCAGACGGCGTCGGATCCGAGTAGCGGCTCAATCAAGGTATTGATTGAGGGACCAAAATGATCGATGACAGAGCTTGGACAGTGAGTCATGAATGCCATAAGGCATAGCAGAACAGGACATGCATCTTATGCAGCATATGATGACTATCCTACACTCTGTTAGTGAAATGATTGGTTCCAGCACGGAATGGCTCAAGAGATGGAATGATTCTGCTGATTATGAGGAGTCAAGAGTAGATAAGTTAACTAGTGTGAAGAAGATATATCCGTTAGCATAAAAGCTAAGCTCGAACGAAGAAGAAATGTGGAGTCTTGATAATAATATCGAAGATGGTAGAATGTAGAATGGTGTTTTTGTTGCTAACGGTGACTCGGACTCCGTCGGCTTTGCCAGCGATCGGCAGGTCACGCGTCTGCTCAACTTGGTACTTATCTCCCCAGTCACCTAAGCATTGTTACTCCACACTTCTCTCTTTTCCGATAAGAGATAGCAAACTTTCTTGATAAAAGGGTGAAGAGCATGCTCTGAATATCTTCACTTCGAGAGTTTCCTTCCCCATCTTTGATCTCTGCTGTCCGACATGTACACTCTCTGGGCTGCTGCCTTGGTGGCTGCTTTGCCCGTCTCCAGGGCCCAGTTTGTGTCTCCACCCACGGATCTCATTCCCACCAAGGGATATCTTGACATCCCCGTCCGCTACAAACAGGTCCCCACCGGTATTTGCGAGACCGATCCCAGCGTCAAGAGTTTCTCTGGTTATCTCGATGTCGCCGAGCACGAGCACATCTTCTTCTGGTTCTTCGAGGCGCGCAATCAAGATCCCACCGAGGCTCCCTTGACTGTCTGGATCAATGGAGGCATGTCTGACCCCGGGCACAATTTCATTCCAATTGCTAATTATTCGAAGGCCCTGGCTCCTCCTCTATGATCGGCTTGTTCCAAGAGCACGGCCCATGCGGCATTGACGCCAATGGCTCCGTCTACAACAACCCGTACTCTTGGAACAACGCCAGCAACATGCTCTACATTGACCAGCCCGTGCAGACTGGCTTCTCCTACAGCATTCCGGTCCCCGGCTACGTGGATTCCTCCACGGACAATGTCATTGCCCTGCCCTCCCCTGTCTGCCCAGACTATGCGGCAGACATGTCCTGTGGCACCTACGCCTACCCGAACGTGAGCCTTACGGCTAATTCCACCGACAACGCTGCCCCCAACTTCTACCGCGCCCTGCAGGGTTTCATGGGCGCATTTCCCCAGTACTCGCGCGAGACCTTCCATTTCACCACTGAGAGTTATGGCGGTCACTACGGTCCCGTTTTCAATGAGTACATCGAGGAGCAGAACGCCCATCTCCAGCCGGGTGCCAAGAAGATCCAACTGGGCAGTGTGATGATCGGCAATGGCTGGTATGACCCAATCATTCAATACCAGGCCTACTACAACTTTACGGTAACTACCTGATTTTGATCCTTGATTTCTACTGCTTCGACACTAATGCATCCACAGGTATATCCGGGTAACACATACGACTACCTGCCATTCAACAAATCCATCAGCTCGCTGATGTACAACAACCTCTACGGCCCCGGAAACTGCCTCGACCAGCTTTACGACTGCGCCGCCCGAGGTATTGACGAGGTCTGTAGTACGGCCGACAACTTTTGTGCCAACGAGGTCGAGGAGATCTACGACATCTACTCCGGTCGGGATGAGTACGACTTCCGCGAACTCACTCCGGACCCGTTCCCTTACGAGTTCTACGTCGACTACTTGAACAAGGCATCCGTGCAGGCTGCCATCGGCGCATACATCAACTACACGGAGAGCAACAACGCTGTCGGACTCGCCTTTTCGTCCACCGGTGACGACGGGCGACTCATGAACACCATCCAAGATGTGGGCAAGCTGCTCAAGCAGGGCGTCACGGTGGTCATGTATGCCGGGGATGCCGACTTCAACTGCAACTGGCTGGGCGGGGAAGCCGTGTCACTGCAGGTCAAGGCCGCCAACTTCAGCAGCGCGGGTTACACCAACATTGTCACCTCGGATGGAGTGACGCATGGCCAGGTGCGCCAGGCAGGGCAGTTTGCCTTTGTGCGGGTGTATGAGAGTGGCCATGAAGTTCCCTTCTACCAGCCCTTGCTTGCGCTGGAGATGTTTGAGCGCGTCATTGGCGGCAAGGATGTGGCAACAGGGAAGATTCCCGTGACGCCGAGTCTGCAGACGGTGGGCACCCTCAAGAGTACCTACCGCGAGGGCAACGGCACGATTCAGTGGGAGGTGTTGGACTCACTGGCGACGTACAACACGACCACTAATGCTCCGAACCCAGTGAGCCGGAAGCTGAAGCGGATGGGACCGGCTTTGAGGTTTCAGATGTAGATCTGAAGCATGCAACTGTATTGTTCAGCGCGATTTAACGATCATGTCTAGCTGTGCCGCCAAAGGGGAACCTACAGATATTAACGCCTTTCTTTCGATTCAAACATCTTACGAGCCATGAATGCTATTTATGATCAGGCCATCTACTGCCGGTGAACTATTGTAGTGACGGAGAGTTTCTGTTCAATCGCAACTGAAAGAAAACTGTAAGAACACAACATGACTCGCTAGTGACAAACCGGGTGAAAATATTGTGAGGAGCAAAGTTTGAAATCTCTCAAGCCATGGGTCCCATCTCAAGCTTCTTCCAATCCATTGGTCTTAGCTGAATGAACAAGGTAGAAATTCAGGGGTAGAACCGGACAAATTTGGGTCTGGCGGGGGTTTGGTGGGGACCGGATCAAAGGTTGCATTGGTTTGAGGCATGATCGGCGCGCAACGAACGAGCAGTGGAGGCCGAGATCGCAGATTTGACTCAACATTGCACCCAAACCAAGGAAATTCGTATCCGTCAATCAATAGTGCATCTCATCTGGCAAGGCATGGAATCTTCACCCCACTTTAGGCCGGCACCCTCGGCACAACAAAAGGAGCATGGCAGCCTTATTTTTCTTTGTTCGAACTATTTTGATCTCCCTGTTCAAGATCTGTCTCTCGCAACATGGGCAACACAACCAGTATAGCAGGGCGTGATTGCCTGATATCTGCCCTGGGAGGCAATTCAGCCCTTGCGGCTTTCCCAAACCAGCTTCTTTGGACTGCCGATGTCCACGAATACAACCTCAACCTCCCGGTTACTCCAGCCGCCATCACGTACCCGGAGACAGCAGAACAGATCGCCGGCATAGTCAAATGCGCCTCAGACTATGACTACAAAGTACAGGCACGCAGTGGAGGCCACAGCTTTGGGAACTATGGTAGCATACTCTCAGCCAAATAACCCCTAGGCCATTTCCACTAACAAGTACTCGACACAGGCCTTGGCGGAACAGACGGCGCGGTAGTAGTTGACATGAAACACTTCAACCAATTCTCCATGGACGACCAGACATACGAAGCAGTCATCGGACCGGGCACGACCCTGAACGATGTTGACATCGAACTCTACAACAACGGGAAACGAGCCATGGCGCACGGCGTTTGCCCAACCATCAAAACAGGCGGACACTTCACCATCGGCGGACTTGGCCCTACCGCGCGTCAATGGGGTCTTGCCCTGGACCACGTCGAGGAAGTTGAAGTGGTACTGGCCAACTCGAGCATCGTCCGGGCCTCTAATACCCAGAACCAGGACGTATTCTTCGCTGTCAAAGGCGCCGCAGCCGACTTTGGCATCGTCACCGAGTTCAAAGTCCGCACTGAGCCGGCCCCGGGTCTCGCGGTCCAGTACTCGTATACCTTTAACCTGGGCAGCACTGCCGAAAAGGCCCAATTTGTCAAGGACTGGCAGTATTTCATCTCGGCGAAGAACCTAACCCGCCAATTCTACAACAACATGGTCATTTTCGACGGGGACATCATCCTCGAGGGACTTTTCTTCGGGTCCAAGGAACAATACGACGCCTTAGGACTAGAAGACCACTTCGCACCAAAGAACCCAGGTAACATCCTAGTTCTAACCGACTGGCTCGGCATGGTCGGACACGCGCTGGAAGATACCATTCTCAAGCTGGTCGGCAACACCCCGACCTGGTTCTATGCCAAGTCTCTGGGCTTCAGACAAGATACATTGATTCCATCTGCCGGAATCGACGAATTCTTCGAATACATCGCCAACCACACCGCCGGCACGCCAGCCTGGTTCGTCACTCTCAGTCTGGAAGGCGGAGCGATTAACGACGTCGCCGAAGACGCAACCGCGTACGCTCACAGAGACGTGCTCTTCTGGGTCCAGCTCTTCATGGTCAATCCCCTAGGCCCGATATCGGAAACAACATACGAGTTCACCGATGGACTGTACGATGTGCTTGCGCGGGCGGTGCCAGAGAGCGTAGGACACGCGTATCTGGGCTGTCCGGACCCGAGGATGGAAAATGCGCCGCAGAAGTATTGGCGGACGAATCTACCCCGGTTGCAGGAGTTGAAGGAGGAGTTGGATCCGAAGAATACGTTTCATCATCCGCAGGGCGTTATTCCTGCTTAATACTCCTAATCATAGATGTATATACCCAAAATAATATTTAAATTTCGTGCCATGCATAGTAAATCTCTCACTATATAAGACTGCACATCCCCCCTTTCCCCATCATACCCCATTACTATGACCCCCATGATCCCCATGATACCCATTCGGATGAAAATCCGGATGACCCGGAATCCTCCCGGTAGCCTTATACTCCTCCTCGGGGAACGAAGGGCCCAGGGTCGGATGAATCAGGGTAGTTTCATCGAAGATATCGAATCGATGTTCCTCGGCCCATTTGTCCACTTTGTCCCAGTTAGCGCATTCGTGCTCGACGACAAAGTTGGGTTTCGGGGCGCGATCTGTCGGATCCCATGTGAAGGTTAGGAGAGAGACGTCGGCTTTGCACATGATGTTTTGGCGGAGGTTGTCGATGCAGTGTTCTGCAGCTGTTAGTCACTATATCTATTGGGTATTTAAGATGGGGGATGTACCGATGTGAAGCGGGGTAGTGGGTTTTCCGATATGGTAGTAGCTGTGGTAGACTACTTGGCGGAGGAATTTCTTGTACCGGTCATCAGTCACTACGTGATGAAGAACGAAAGTAGTAGGGTAGGGAGGAGAAGGAAGGGTCTCACCAGGCAATGCAGCTGGTGATATACATCTATTTCTGTCAGATCCATCCATCGATCAGGACTACACATAGGGTTTAAACATACCCGGAATGGCATAATATCCCCCCTTCTCATCATTTATCGGGACAGACGTGCGATTTATCTTCGCTAGGTCTTCAGCAGTAACTCGGACATTGGAGTTGATGAATAACTGGTGCCATGCATGGTCCAGCTCTTCAGATGGAGCGCCCTTGAATGGATTCTCGCTCTCGATTGAGGCGTTGATGGTTTTGCGCTCGAGTTCTACGGCTTCCCATAATGGGGCTAGTGTGGTTCTCTTAGTGGTTATGTAGTTAGGGTTGAGATTGGTGGGAGAGATAGGGCTTACATGCGATAAGATGTGCAGGTTTACTGTCTTGATGTCTGATACTGCTCGTTGATCGGTACGTTGCTGCTAGGAATGCTGCGCCATAGATAAGGGCTAGGATGAGGTGGAAGCATAGGCTGCTCCATCGAATGGGGGATTGGCGTTGATGGTTCATGTAATGGTGGCCTTCGGCAAAGTGGTCTTTGAAGGACTCATCGCGATAGTCTTCTGAACTGTCTGATAGTGGCAGTCTCTCGGAGGAGGACGAGGTGCTGTCGGTTCTGTCTCTTTTGAGAGCCATGTACATTGTGCTGAGCCTTGCGAGGGACATTCTTCTTTAGGGGGATGGAGTGGAAGGGTGGTTGGTGGGATCATAGATGGAAATGAGGGTTAAGAGAATGTGCAATCACCTACAAAGGGGGAACTCTGGAGGATTCAAAGTCGATATGCTGATGGAGAACCCATCATTGCATGTTTCCATAGATTGAGTAACTGTGAAACACCTCCACCATGGCTGATTTCCCCGCAGAATGAAGATGCAGGCATGGGGTGAGCGGGGAGCTTGTACTACTCGAATCGCTGCTGCGAGTCTGAGGGCACACCGTTCAGAACGTATGGAGCTTCATGTATGGCCGGCTACCCCGCGCGAGAGGACTTTGCGCCATCTGCTTAGATGATGTGCAGATATTTCCTGGATTTTTAGACTAAGGACATGTCAGTGGTCATGAGGTGGAGCTTCATCATGTAGCCTGGTGATGCATTTCCACTGAACTATCGATGTCATGCAGCTCAGTGTCACATTGCTACACTTCATTCCTGGAAACCTGGGGTCATAGCAGGGTAAGTATTGCCTTACCAGTCGGTTCAGCAAAGTATGCCTCATGTTCTATCCTCAGTTGGGAAGGGGAAAGACGCAATAGAGCGAATGTTGCCACCACAATACTATCACCGTCGATCCACGCAGCAACATAACTTCCATGTGCTGCACATCGTAGTCATGCATCTTTTAGGGAATGATGACGACGTTCTGTTACTCTCCACATTCTACGCTCATATGACCGACTTCGATGCAGTATTCCGACATGCCGTGCAAGTAGTAGGCTATGCTGATCTATATAAAAGCTGCACCTTTTCCACAGACCCGACCCACTAGACCAACCACGTCAGCCCACATCCTGCTAGGAAAGAGCCTTACTTCCTCCATTCAGGCGAAATATATCCCGAGACAGCACGATGCATACCCCCAAGATTATACTGTCCTTATGCCTCGCCATTGGTATGGCTGCGGCCTTACCTGGTAAGTAGCTCACCGGTCCCATGAGATAGTCCTGTATTTGACATACCCAGCGGTGGGATCTACCAACGAGCTAGACGGTGACTTGTACAACTACAAGCGAGGTACTAGTGAGCTCGACGGGGATCTCTACAATTATAAGCGGGACAAGGCCGAGCTTGATGGTGATCTTTATAACTATAAGCGCAGCAATGCCGAGCTCGACGGAGACCTTTACAACTACAAACGGGGCAAGGCAGAGCTTGATGGCGATCTTTACAACTACAAACGGGGCGGGTATAAGCGGGACAACGCTGAACTCGATGGGGATCTCTACAACTACAAACGCAGCAAGGCTGAACTTGATGGAGACTTGTACAATTACTGAGTCTGCACTCACCTTTGCGCAATATTCTATCATGTCAATCGGGAAAGGGGAGAATCAACGCGAATTACTCAGTTGACGCTAGGTTTTGGGGGCCAGGGAAGAGTTTGAAGGTTCCAATTCTGGAAATAGTTTTGTGTAGCTCAATGACACATCTTGCAGTAGCTGTGATACAATACCAAAATTGTAGGTATTCAACCCACAAATAAAACCAAGTAAACGCTTATACGTCACCTCTCTTTTGAGTTGGGGATCGAGGTAGACAGTTTCGCTATGTAAAAGATGTACTCGTGACCTCTTAGCTACACATCGACAAGAGCCCGTCATAGCTATCGTCCGTCTACAAGTCTTTTCCCATCATATCACAGGTCCATTACGCATTCTATTCTACCTCTTAAACCAACCAAACAAGCAACTCACAACGGCATCAAATCCCTCACCCTCACCACCTCTCCCCTCCGCATAGACTCATTAGCCGCAATCCCCGTAGCAATAGACCACGCCCCATCAATATGCGTCGCAGCCCTACCCAGAGGATCCGCATCCGGAGTACCAAACAAATCCTTCAGCAGCTGGGGATCCCCACCCCCATGCCCTCCCTGACCCGTCGGCACCTCAATCTCCACCGGTTTCTCAAACAAAGGCCTTAGAAGAATAGTCTGTCGTTCAAGAGCGCCCTCCAAAGCCTGCTCACCCCCGGAGTTAACATACGACTGCTCAACGACCTCCACCTCCAGCCGACCTTTACTCCCAGTAAAGTTCACCCGGAAGCCCTCCCAAGGCGCATACGCCGTGAGACTATACGTCATCACAGCCCCGGATTCATACCGTACCATCACCCCCATCGTGTCCTCAATGCTGATGCCATCCCCGAACACGCTCTGATCACGATAATACCCGTCTTCCCACTCTGCATCCACGTACATCGCCTTCAACTTCTCATTACCTTCCAGGTCCAGGGAGAACGGATCATCCCGAGCCACTTCACTCCCGCGAGAGCGCGAGTAGAACCTCGTTTCGCCGCGTCGCTCGGCATTCTCCTTCCCGTAGAAGCGCAGATCTCCCATCGCAACGACAGTCTCAGGTCGAGTGCGGAGCCAGAAATTCACCAGGTCAAAATGATGCGTGGATTTATGCACCAGCAGACCCCCAGTATTCCTCTTATCGCGATGCCAGCGACGAAAGTAGTCCGCTCCATGGGAGGTGTTGAGCACCCATTCGAAATGCACGGCATTGATCTCGCCGATTGCCCCGCTGGCCAATAGCTCCGCGATGCGCGTGTTATGCGGTGCGTAGCGGTAGTTGAATGTCACTCGGACCTGGCGCTGGGTGCGGTCCACGGCGTCGAAGATCTGTCGACAACGCGGCGCGTCGATGGTCATGGGCTTTTCGGTAATGACGTTACAGCCCAGTTCCAAGGCACGGACGATGTACTGGTGATGGGTGCGGTCGATAGTGGTGACGATCACCACGTCCGGACGGGTCTCCTCGATCATTCGGTCAAAGTCCCGCGCGTTGTACGTCGGGATCGCAGCGTGACCTAGCGATTGGATCTGTGAGTTGGCGTATGCCAGACGAGTGGAGTTGGTGTCGCAGAAAGCGACGAGCTGGGCGGTGCTGGGGAAGTCGCGCACGATGGCCGTGTAGAAGAACATGGCACGGCCGCCGGTGCCGATGAGGGCGTATTTCTTCATTGTGTCGTTTGCTTGAAGTGACAATGTCTCATGAGCTTGTTGATCATATTCATGAGGGGGATGGTCATAGCTGGTTTATATGCCGTCGGGAGACACTCACCCGAAGCGCAGATCTGGTATCTCGCACGGACATCCCACTCCCCCCACGCAGCTTGATTGCCAGAGTTTTTCCATCAACCGGATGGAAGGCCGAAATGCGGGGAGACTGGGGTTGGAGATCCTGGGGTAACATGTTAGATCAGCCGACGAGATTGATGGTGAGATAGCCGCGGTGGTTATCTGATCTGGCTGTGATTGATGGAAGTGCAGTGATTTTAGCCGGTTTATCCTGGCTGAGGGATATAAATCACATACTAGTCACCGAGTATCTATTCTGTTATCTGCAAGCAGGTATTCACGATGGCTACCCGTGCAGAAGATTCCCACGATGCCATCACAGCCGTGGATGCCACGGCTCATGGCACAGGAAGAGAAAAGGCAGCAGACTTTCTAGCCACTGTCAGAAAGGAAGAGCGGACATTCAGCCCAGAAGAAGAAAAGCACGTCCTTAGACGCATTGATCTCCGTATCCTCCCTCTCTTGCTTGGAGCATACTTCTTCCAACAGCTGGACAAGTCGACGCTGTCGTACGTGTCCATCTTTGGTCTCGTCGAGGATGCGCAACTACACGGCCAGCAGTACTCATGGCTTGGATCGATTCTGTACCTTGCCCAACTCGTCGTGCAGCCACTTGCAGCCTTGCTACTTGTGAAGGCTCCTACCGGCAAAGTCATCGGAACAGCCGTGCTGCTATGGGGAAGCTCGCTGGCCATCATGGCGGCGTGCACGGACTTTCCCAGTCTACTAGGGCTGCGGCTGACCTTAGGGACATTTGAGGCTATGATTGGTATGTTCTAGCTTCATATACAGCAATATAGTTGCTAACAAAACAGCACCCTCATGTGTGGCCGTCACGCAAATGTGGTGGCGTCGAGGCGAGCAGACCCTCCGAACAGCGATATGGAACGCGATGAACGGGGTCACCTTTATAGTAAACTCCCTACTACCATCCTATCCAAACTATCCTAACTATTCCCCCAGGTCGGTAGTCTCTTCACCTACGGCCTCGGCCACATCCACAGCGACAGCCTCTACTCCTACCAAGTACGTCTCCCCACTATCCCCAATAATTCCATGATAACCCTCAAAACCACAGATAATCTTCATGTTCTGCGGCCTCCTGACAGTCGCCTACTCAACCCTAGTCCTGCTCTTCATGCCCGACTCCCCAATGGAAGCCAAATTCCTCTCCGAACGCGAGAAAGTCATCGCCGTGGAACGTCTCCGCGCTAACCAAATGGGCATTATCTCGCGGGAGTGGCGATGGGATCACGTCTGGGAGACAGCATACGACGTGAAGACGTGGCTGTGGTTTTTTCTCATCGTGACTATCTCGTGCGCATACCCCCAATCTCCCTCATTCCACCATTATAACTAACAGCATGCAGAATTCCCAGCGGCGGCATCAGCACCTTCGGCAACTTAATCATCAAATCCTTCGGCTACGGATCGTTCGAAACCATCCTGTTCAACATCCCCTTTGGCGTGATTCAAGTCATCGCCATTTTAGGCGGAGGATGGCTGGCTGCAAGATTCCAGAGGAAGGGGCTAGTGATTGCCTTGTTTGCGGGGATTTCTGCCATCGGGACGTTGTTGATGATTGTTGTGCCGAGGGACCAGAAGGGGGTGCTTTTGTTTGGGTATTATTTGGTATGACCCCTCCCCTTCCTCCTCATGGAGATGTGCTATATTAATAATGTATGTACAGGTCTCCTGCCTCGCAGCCATAACCCCCCTCGTATACGCCTGGGAAGCGCAAAACACCGCCGGAGACACGAAGAGGAAGTGTACGTCGGCTGTGGTGTTGATTGGGATGTGTGCGGGAAATGTAAGCACTTTCCTCCTTCCTTATACAACCCCCATGGATGGGCCTTGGCTAACGCAATTAATAATTTGGCAAGGTCATCGGCCCCCAACTCTACTCCACCTCCCAAGCACCACTATATCGACCGGGTCTTATATCGAATCTTATTCTGTTTGTGTTGGTAGCTGTTTTTGCTATGTATGTCTATCTCTTCCCCCCCCCCCCCTCTCTCTCTCTTGTTTTTTCTGTGAAGTAGTGAAGGTCTAACTGACCCTCGCAGTGTCGCTAATTTATACCTCATATACCTTAATCGGAAGCATGCACGACGGAGGACAGAACTGGGCAAGTCGGCTCGGATTGTGGATGAGTCTATGGTTAGGAAGAAGGCGGTGGAGCAGGGGAAGGTGGTTGAGGTGGAGGATGTAAATGTGAATGTGAATGTGACGGGGGAGAGGGTGGGTGTGGATGGTGATAAGGGATTTTCGGATACGACGGATTTGAGGAATGAGGATTTTATTTTTGTTTATTGAACAGGGAGTTTTCTTGGGTGGGATTGTTTTGGAAGGTTGTTTGATTATAGGTAGTTTTATTAAATATATGGTTTGGTAAAGGAGGGTTAAGAAGGAAAGGAGACTGTTAAGCTGAGATGGTGAGGATCTCCGATATGATTGTAGATAGTTGTTGATCACTCGTGATCCTCGTCCTCGTCGTCATCCTCATCATCGTCACCCTCGTCATCCACGTCATCCTCGTCATCATCAGCAGAGCTGCACTTCCCACTATCACAGACCAAATCATCCGAGCAATCATCTTCAGTAGAACAAATAGCGCCTGCAAAAAATCAATATGAGCCATTGTATTCGTATCGATCGGAGCGTCCACGTACCTTCGCAATGTCCCTCCCAGGAACAGGTGGCCGTGGAGCCCGAAGGACTCGGCGTGCTGGCGGCGCTCGTGGCCAAGGTGGTCTGGGAGGGCACGGTGGCGCTAGAGCTGGAGCCCGAGCCAGAGCCGGACTTGGAGAGGCCCAGGTTAGAAGCGAGAGCTCCGACCAGCTTGTCGCCCATTGAGCGCAGGGTGCTGAAGTTGGTGATGTAGTTCTTGTCCAGGGCACTGCTGGGGAGGACGGCGTCGTCGCCGGTGAAGACGATGTCTGTTCTGTATTAGGCAGTCTGATTTCAGGTTAGCGGGAGTAGGGCTTACAGGTTACGTCTGCTTCGGCGTGTCCCTCGGCTCCGTTGAGATCGTCGTCTGGGAAGCAGGTGCGGGCCATGAGCCATGAGGCTTCGCCGGTTACCTCGGGGTCGTCGCCGTTGGAGTCACCCAGGATGCCGTAGTACATTTTGCCGTTGCTAAGGAGGTCAGTCAGCATGATGGTTGAACAGTTCAAGGGCAGACTCACCAGATCACTGCGGCAATGTTGTTACCCGGAAGCAAGTCCTCGTTGGCCGTGAGGAACTGGTCCGGGATGACAATCCATGGCACCTCATAAGCGGACAGAGCTTCCCAGTTGGTCTCGGGTAGGCCATCCCCGTTGCCCTTGCACTTGTAGTCTATGCCATCACAGTCGACATCCATGTCGGCTACCCAGCTGAGTGCGGCACCCTGTAGTCATTAGCGAGGGTTCTGCCACCAACCCGAGGCAGGATTCCGACATACCTGGTTGAACTTCACCCAATCGCTATGAATGGTCGACTTGGGAGAATTCTTGTCCGTATTGACAGGATAGGTAGCCTTGGATGGCACAGAACTTGCCTTGGCTGCGGCCGACTGCAAGGCCGCGACGGGCAGGGTCGTGGCCGCGGCAAAGTAGCTGGCCGGGGGACCGTTGGTAGGGCTGTTGTACTTGGAGCCATCCACGGACTGGGCTTTGACGGAGCCCGCGAGAGCGAGGAGTGCGAGACCGGCGGTGGTTTTGAAGGCCATGATGAGAAGGTGGTGATAGGTGATTATAGAAGCGAATCAGGTAGATAGGGAACGATGAGAGGGAAGATGATGGTGATGAAGATAATGGTTGAGGCGAACAGGCAATTTATATCTCCATCTTCGAGCTAGATGGCCTCGCTTCACATCATATCCATTCACTTGTTGTCGAGAGAGTTGAGTCTGGTGGAGCTTGGCCCCCAAGTCGAGTCGGAGCGAGCTTGTCGATGGAGATCCGATGTCTCGTCACTGTGTCATCAGCGGGGGGTTAATGTTGAGCATCGCGTTGACAGCTGTTGAGAAATCTTCTTATTTCTCTTTTTAATTTCTTAGCTTCACGTTTGATGAGTGATGTTTCTACAGTTAGAACGAGTTATTCACAGGACAGGTGGTGATTGCCACGCTGAGCAGATGATGCTATCCCCGTTGACCGGCGACCGTTTCTCCTGCACTGTTAACCCCGACCACATACCCTGCAGGGACCAAAGTCAAAACGAAGCACTAATGACTAAAGAAGACCCTGAATGGTGTTTAGCGATCCAGGGTACGAGGATGGAAGAAGCGTTTCAGCCCTTTCAGCCCGCGGGAATCCGGGAAGGAATGGGAATACGACCTGGGGGCCTTGGGGGCGGCCACAGGCGAGGTTTTGATATGGAGTCGGAAACCCTTTCCATATATTTAGTATGTCATATAATGGGATTGTGAAGGTGGAGGATCGCCATAGGATCGCCAGTGACCGTTGTTGAGGTTAATTATAGAGATAGGGTGGTTTGACAGTGAGACGGCCCCCGACCGGATCATCTTCAGTGCCCGAAGTGGAAGGTGATTTCATGAGTGACCTGAGTTCATTTCATATGGGGTCAACGAAGGGGTAAATTGCCGTTCGATCGCTGGTGAATACTATGCGGATAATTCCGCGTCCCTTTGACGATTAAGATCATCGGACAATATGGCTGCCTTGCACCCACCCTTCCTTGCTTCTGGGAGTCCAGTGAGAATGAACCGTGCCATAGACAATGACAGAAACATTCTTTGGATTCATAATTGATGTGTCAGTCTTCACAAGTGTACGGAAACAATTCCCGACCGTGAGATTGGAGAATGGTCCGACCGATCAAGCTGACAAGATCGTGAAATAAGGGCTGACAGCCCTGAGGGGAGGGTATAAAGGCAGCCATGCGTCATGCCTCGAATTTTCCCAAGATACTCTAGAGACAGCTGGTGCTCTGTATTAGAGAAACCAATAATCAATTCCACTAGGGTTAAGTTAAGAAGCTACGGGTTCTGAGTGAGATGGACAGGCACATCTGGGCATGGAACCGATTCCACGAGGCCATTTTCTACGACTAAAGGGCGACTTTGCACGGTCGCGTGCGGTTCCTACTTTTTAAATCGCCTTGCATCAGGCACCACTCAGGGGGATGAAGTGGTGTAGACAACTCACCGGTGCCAACGCAGGTACATGGATTGAGCCCTGACCGGAAGAGATGGGAAGATGGGAAGTGGAGGATGGACGATCTTTGCTGGATGCGTGTCTCTCAGGGACCGACGAGATCCGTTGTTTAGTCACAAAGTCAAGTAACCTCGGGTCAGATCTCGATCCCACCCAGCCATGTGCCTTTGTCTTTTTTGTAACCCTCACAATGAAATTTTCATCATCGCAACCATGTTCCGAGGGTTGCAAGATCAATTGCTGGAGTTAAATAGGTAGATCTAAAATTTGTCAGGTTGCACCAGATCTGCCTGTACTCTTCTTCCACTTCTCTGCAATCGGAAACACCAACACTACTACCATGATGACCATGTATGGCAGTGCAACAGTTGGGGTCGGGTTTCAGCCTCTACGGGACAAAACACAATCCTCCGGGGCCAAATATCCCCCGGATTGATGCTGGCAGGCAGGTTGGGATTGCCTCGATGTTGCTTGCGTTGATGTGGTGTGATGATGGTGCAGGAAGAGATGCTCGGCAGATGACCTGTCTGGTGACAACCAGACGATGTGATCAGTGCTGAGCAGGGGAGTTTACCCTGTAGATGAATCAATCCATAGTAACTAACTAGCATCAACCACTACTGTAGGAACCCCTGGGTGTGCCTGGACCGTTCCTGCATGGATGTCCTGCCCGACCGCGTCAGCCGGTTGGGGCCAAACATGGAAACCCTTTCATCCAAGAAGGAAAGGATTGCTGATTATTTTCCCGTCAACCAACACCAAAACCTAACTTGGTACTGTCAAAGCCCGGCCTGGATGTCACCCCCCAAAATCCAGAGAAAAGTGACCTCCCTGAAAGCCCCCGCTGAGGGGGGAGAGGGGGAACCCGTGCCGGAATCCATCATGGACGCTGGCAAGGCAATATCCACAAAATGGATCAAAGGACAAGAAAAAGAGAATCAGGGGGGCATAAGGAGAAGGGCTAGAAGCAACTCTCCCCACTCCACCAGTTACTATCCATTCAAACCAGTTAAATCAGTTAATTACCGTTGAAATGAAATGGGTGTTTATTTTTATGAAGAACAAGCATCGGCCCTAAGAATAGCTTGCTATTTTTATCCCGTTACTATTGGATGGTTAGTCTTGATTGTGCCTCTGTGATTTGCCACTCGGCTGCCGGGGTGTCAATTTCGTGGCTGTCCCTGGATCCAACCAGCATTCGCCAAGGTCACCAGAGCTCCACTGCGTTCTTTTGTCATCCCGGCGGGGACATTCCTGATTGGACCATGTGGCAGCCACAACCCCACTCTCTCCCAGTGGTGGGGTGGAGTCCAACTCAGGCACGAGTCTCTCCCATTGGCTACAAGATTTACTGACGGGGCGGCCGAATTTCCGGGTTCAGGCCAATCTGGTCGGGCCTCGAGTCTAGAATGTCTCGGTTGCCTCCCTTAGTTTCCTTTCCCTTGTCGTCTCTCTCTCTTTTCCCCTCATACATCTTACTTCTTCTCCTCTTCTCCTCTTCCTCTCTCTCTTTTCCTCTTCAATCCTCTCTCTCTCCAACTCAGAACTCGGTTTATTCCTTGTTCATTCCATTCTTTCTCTTACACTCCCTCCATCGCTCTCAGCTTTCTGTGTAGCGTCTCACTCTCTTTTCCACCTTACCCACTCTTTATAATCCCTTACGTTCTTTTTCACGACCGTCACCATGCTCTCCAAGATGCAGCTCGCCCAGCTGGCCGCTTTCGCCATGACCCTGGCCACCTCCGAGGCCGCCTACCAGGGTTTCAACTACGGCAACAAGTTCTCCGATGAGAGCTCCAAGTTCCAGGCCGACTTCGAGGCCGAGTTCAAGGCCGCCAAGAACCTCAAGACCACCTCCGGCTTCACCTCTGCCCGTCTCTACACCATGATCGTACGTCCTCCCAGATGACAATGGATCTCATAATGATTGCGCATCTGCTAACTGCTCTATAGCAAGCCTACTCCACCAGCGATGTCATCGAGGCCATCCCCGCCGCCATTGCCCAGGATACTTCCCTTCTGCTCGGCCTCTGGGCCTCCGGTGGTGGCATGGACAACGAAATCACCGCCCTGAAGACCGCCATCTCCCAGTACGGTGAGGAGCTTGGCAAGCTCGTCGTCGGTATCTCCGTCGGCAGTGAGGATCTCTACCGTAACTCCGTCGAGGGTGTCGAGGCCGATGCCGGTGTCGGTGTCAACCCCGACGAGCTTGTCGCCTACATCAAGGAGGTCCGCTCCGTCATCTCCGGTACCGCCCTCGCCGACGTCTCCATCGGTCACGTCGACACCTGGGACTCCTGGACCAACAGCTCCAACTCTGCCGTCGTCGAGGCCGTCGACTGGCTGGGCTTTGACGGCTACCCCTTCTTCCAGAGCAGCATGGCCAACTCCATCGACAACGCCAAGTCCCTCTTCGAGGAGTCCGTCGAGAAGACCAAGGCTGTCGCCGGTGACAAGGAGGTCTGGATCACTGAGACTGGTTGGCCCGTCAGCGGTGACTCCGAGGGTGATGCTGTCGCCAACATCGCCAATGCTAAGAAGTTCTGGGACGAGGTCGGCTGCCCTCTCTTCGGTAACGTCAACACCTGGTGGTACATCCTGCAGGATGCTTCCCCCACCACCCCCAACCCCAGCTTCGGTATCGTCGGCAGCGAGCTCTCCACCACTCCCCTGTTCGACCTGTCCTGCAAGAACTCCACCACCTCCTCCTCGTCCGCCGTTGTCTCTGCTGCTGCCTCTTCCGCCGCCGGTAGCAAGGCTGTCGGTTCCTCCTCCGGTGCTCAGGCCTCTGCTACCCCCAGCTTCACCGTTGGCCGCCCCGGCGTGAACGGCACTGTCTTCGGTAACGGCACCTACCCCCTCCGCCCCAGCGGTTCCGCCTCTGCTCGTCCCTCTGCCGGTGCCATCTCCAGCGGCTCTGGCTCCGGCTCCAGCGGTTCGGGCAGCTCTGGTAGCACCGGCACCTCGGCCACCTCCGGCCAGTCCTCCACCTCCGGCTCTGCGGCCGCTGGCTCTTCCTCCCCTGCTGCCTTCAGCGGTGCCAGCACCCTCTCCGGCTCCGTCTTCGGTGCCGTTGTGGCCGTCTTCATGACCCTGGCTGCTTTGTAAGGAAATGAACGGATGACACGGGTTTCCCTCCCCGCCACCCTCGTCTCTTGGTGATAGGAGTTCTCTCGTTTTTGGGTAGCCCCGATTTTGTGTTCCGGTGTTCTTTTCGGTCGACCTTCACTTCTTGATACATATTTTTTCCATCAAAACTATTTTTGCTTGCCATGGTTGGCCCGGATGATAGACAAATGTTAATTTAGACTTGAGCTCTTTCCATCCAGCTGCATGATCAAGCGCATTGCAATCGACCGAAACGTGGGTTTGTAAATATATTTCATAAGAGGTTACCAGCCTACCAGCCTCAGTAATTTCCTCAACGGCCCGTAAACAAGATAGTTTTAAGCGTGTTCCATAAGCGCAATTACCGCAGAGTGCATCCATGTCCCGATTGTCCACATGAGGTGCCAGCGTTGCATTCCGTATAGTATCAGGTGACCCTTCTTGCTGTTGGACCCCTTGCGGGTTTGCTTCCTTGCAGTGCTGCGGAAGACATCATACTTAGCAAGTGTCCGCTATATGCCTAAATTGATAAGATAACTGGAGTATAGATTAACGGTGTTTACTGGTTACTTTCTTTGACGACTAGAGCTAGATTAATAGTACTTAGTAGTTCACCTTGTTCGCTAAGTTCGTGTATTGATAATGCCGGATATCCATACATATATATATTTATGACTCGAACGGCTTTCTACCATCGTGAATTGAGAATAATTATGTACTTACCCGTGGCTCTTTTTACTAGTACCACACGTATCTGCAGATTAAATCTATACATCAAGAAACTACTGCAAATATCTAGTCCACGAATTTTCTATCAGTATCCTGGAAGCAATAACTGGCCGTCATCATTGTTTGAACCTCCCGTTTTCTGCCGGTTCAACTAGTGTCCCAATCGGGAATAGTCAGGTTGGAGGTTGCAGAAATGGTCCTTCCTAGTTGGGAGGCGGTGTGACAGACATCCATTTTCTCCATCTTCAGTGCAACATCTCCTTACAAAAGGTTGTCTCAATTGCAACACTCATTGCATCGGGCAACTTCGGGGCCCGCTGGGTGATTCTTTTCCCTGCATCGCATCTACTTGAATGGAATTGTGGTAGTGAAATCTCTGGCAAGGTACCATCCATCCATGGCTGTTCCATCCACGGTTCCCCGTAGAATCTCTGCCTGAGGCTACAATACTGTCTGTGCGAGTCACGTGCTGACAGGCTCTCCTCCAGTCATTCTCTGCCTTGCGTCTTTGTCCCCCCACAAACATACTTTTCATAAGACTAGACTATTCCAGAATACCCCTGTGGGTCTGGACGCATCATCCCACCCTATCCCTACTATTTTATACGCTATGGGAACCCTGCTTGCAAATATCCTAAAGGATGTAGTAGACTGCAGATTCTAGAGTAGAACAAGGGATACCGCTCACCGCCTCGCTCGTCATTCTTTTACTAGTGGACAAGTTCACCAGAATTCATGGTGTTCTCGCCTTATCCTGTGATGCTGCATCTGAGAAGAAAAGCCGTTGTGACCAGTATGCAGCAGCAGCAGCAGCAGCAGCAGCGTTATCTGATCCAATAGTAGGGATTGTGCTGAGGATCTACTGCAGCCAACGGACACAATGGCTTGACTGCTTTCGAACCAGCATTGTCTGGTTCACAATACAATTGCAACGTGTTGCCCCACAACAGACCATGGTCTTGCTGCTACCTAGGCCTCCTGTAGCTGGCCTGGTCGTCATGGCCGTTGCCATTGAACACATTCAGTCTGAGTAGGATCAGGTACCCTGTCTGGGATATCTTCTGAGAGCCATGACATGCAACAAGACAGCAGGGTGTGCTCATCCTATGTACCCAATCCATACCGATAACCGGACCATACCTAGTTGCCTCTTTGTGCATCTTGCAACCTTCAATCTCGTACGACTGCGGTTCCTGACCTGCCCATAACCCCTAGCTAGTATAACCCAAACATCGATGGATACTGCTTGAGTAATTGACCAGGAGCTTCAAGGTCTCCGATCAGCCCATTGATCACTGGATTGGCCGACTGTCTTTGTTGGGCAACCTCACCCGACCTGATTCGGAGATTAGAGTATAGGGCATGTTCTCAAAACATGCATTTCTGGAAGGAATTGAGCAGCCACTGCCGAGAATCTTCCTGATAAGCGGGAGGGTGCAGCGGAGACTTTCACCTTTGCGGAAGATGATCGCCGCCAGCCGCGTTAGTCCGTTTCAACGCTCTTCTTCTGGTGGACCAGCTTTAAGCTTAATCCCCCAGTCATGCCAACCGCTGAGACCCGATCTCGTTATCATCAGTTGCAGAACCTGTACCTGCAGGGCCTCGTCATCCTTGATCCATTCTTTATTTCCTTCTCGCCAGGCAGCACCCAAACCTTGCCACTTTCAGGTTCATCGGCCGGATCAGTTCTCTCGGTTGCATCCGAACCGGCGGACGACCGCATCCTCAATCAAGATGGTTGTTTCCAATGCTTCGTGGGTGGGGTAGATTACGTTGCTTGCAATGGTTGCAGAACCATTCCAATATTCTCTCAAACGTATTTAATGGCTATGGATCCCTGCTGCAGTCAATTTTCTACCCAACCAGTCCCTCCTTCAGTCTCTCCTTTACCTTTGGTCAGTCGTTCATTATGTCCAAGTTCCTCCTTTGGACCGTCTCCGCGGCGGCCCTCGCGCGCGCCGCGACTCTCGAGCAGGTCTGTACCGTTGCTCACGCAAAGGCCGCCGTGCCCGCATCCGGCCTGGTGCAGGGTGTGGTCACCAACCCTTCCAGTGTCACTGCGGTTCCCGTCTACAATGAATCCACCTCTGGATCCGACTACTACCCGGCCGGAACCTATGATTACTGCAATATCACCATGACTTATTCTCATGCTGGCAAGGACGACAGCGTCCTGCTGCAATTCTGGATGCCCACTCCCGATGACTTCCAGAACCGCTGGGTGTCTACCGGTGGCTTTGGCTTTGCCATCAACGTTGCCTCCAACGTGCCTGCTGGTCTTCCCTACGGTGCCGTCGCCGGCCGGACCGACGGTGGCTTTGGCAGCTTCGACACTCAGTTCTCCTCTGTGTACCCCCTGGTGAATGGTACCGCCAACTACGATGCCCTCTACATGTTCGGCTACCAGGCCCACCACGAGATGTCCTCCATCGGCAAGGCGTTCACCAAGAACTTCTACAGCATGTCTGACAAGCTCTACGCCTACTACCAGGGTTGCTCCGAGGGTGGTCGTGAGGGCTGGAGTCAGGTGCAGCGCTTCCCCGAGGAGTGGGATGGTGCCGTCATTGGTGCTCCTGCCATCCGCTATGGCCAGCAGCAGGTCAACCACCTGGTGCCCCAGGTCGTGGAACAGACCCTCGATTACTACCCTGAAAACTGCGAGTTCTCCGAGATGGTGACTCTGATTATCGATGCCTGTGATGAACTCGATGGCCGTAAGGATGGCGTCATCGGCCGCACCGATCTGTGCCAGCTCAACTTCGACCTCAAGTCCACCATCGGTAAGCCTTACGCCTGCAACGCCACCACCAGCATGGGTGTGACCACCCCGGCCCAGAACGGCACCATCACTGCGGAGGGTGTGCGCGTCGCTCAGACCATCCTGGACGGATTGAAGGACTCTCAGGGTCGTCAGGCCTACTTCTGGTACCGCATTGGCTCGGAGTTCAGCGATGCAGAGACTACCTACGACTCGACCACCGGCACCTACGGTATCGACATCTCCGAGCTGGGTGGTGAGTGGGTGACTCACGGACTGCAGCTGCTGGACCTCGACAACCTCTCCACTCTGGACAACGTCACCTACGACACCCTGCGTGACTGGATGCTCGAGGGTCTCCAGCGCTACGAGGATGTCCTGCAGACCACCTGGCCCGACCTGTCCCGCTTCCAGGCTGCAGGTGGCAAGGTCATCCACTACCACGGTGAATCGGACAACAGCATCCCTCCCGCGTCTTCGGTGCGCTACTTCGAGTCCGTCCGCGACACCATGTTCCCCAACAAGACCTACAACGCCTCGGTTGAAGCCCTGAACGAGTTCTACCGTCTCTACCTGGTTCCCGGTGCCTCCCACTGCAACACCAACTCTCTGCAGCCCAACGGACCCTACCCCCAGAACTCCCTTGGCGACCTGATGAATTGGGTCGAGAAGGGCATCGAGCCGGTGACTCTGAACGGCACGGTGCTGAGCGGCGATCTCGAGGGAGAGGAGCAGAAGATCTGCTCGTGGCCTCTGCGTCCTTTGTGGAAGAACAACGGCACGGAGATGGAGTGCGTGTACGACCAGAAGTCGATTGACACATGGTTGTATGATCTGGATGCGTATGACATTCCGATCTATTAGCCTGTATCTTCTGTGAAACGCCCCTTCCTGTACATTGTACATTAGTGAACAAAATATTAAGGCTAGATGCCATACACCCACTACCCGATCCACAAACTCTACTCTTAGAACCAAAGTAGACCCCAACCAGGTAACAAGTAATAAACTTCCGACCATCGGCTCATCCCGTAGGCAACAACATCATAATGATCGCCCCCCTCAAGCTTATCCCCACCTCAACCAACACCCTACCTACACCTACACCTACACCTTAACCTCAAAAACCAACAACCACCATGAAAATCATCATCATCGGCGCCGGCATCTCCGGCTGCACCGCATACCTCACCCTCCGAAAACACCTCCCCCCACCACCCCCATCATCACCTCCCCAAGACCACGAATTCACCATCTACGAAGCCTACCCCAGCACCAGCTCCCCCAACCCCACCAACAAAATAACCATAGGCGGCGGCCTCGGCATCGCCCCGAACGGCCTGCGCGTCCTCGAACGCCTCGACGAGAGCATCCTCCGCGACGCCGTCACCAGCGGCTACATGCTCGACCACACCAACCTGAAAGATAAGCACGGGACGACACTGATCCAACTGCCCTCATCATCATCATCCAGCGGAAGTAGTGAAAGTACTGGGGACAGAAGCAAAGCCCT